CGGAACAGTATAAAGTATCGACTATGTGGACTATCCATTCAAAATTACATAGTATGTTGAGGATAAACAAAGGAGTCGATATAAAATCGTTCGTCAAAGTGCATGCATTAATGAAGGCTAATTGCAAAAATGAGGTAGTCAAGAAGTCATATGTATTCGAGGAAGACGATTTGCGGAAGTTTTTTACAGATGCACCGGACATTACGTATTTATTTTTGAAGGTGGTTGCTATTTGTGGCATCTTTGGCTCTTGTAGAAGATGTGAATTGTGCGATTTACGCTTAGCTGATATCAAGGAAGAAGGAAGCGTATTGCTTATTACTATCCGACCATCTAAGACAGTGAAGTCTCGACGTTTTACTGTTGCCGATAGTGATGCAATTAGATATGTGCGTTTGGTGAAGCAGTATTTATCATAGCGCCCCCAAAATGTAAGTACAGAGCGAGTTTTCTTACGGTATGATAAGGGGAAGTGCACCAATCAAGTGGTTGGTATTAATACATTTGGATCATGTCCAGCAAATTGCACGTTATCTTAAATTGGACGATCCAGAGAAATATACTGGACATGCATTTCGACGTACGTCCGCTACCATTATGACGAATAATGGCATGACAATGATGCTATTAATTGAAGTACAACTTCATTGACTTCCAAGAATGTTAGCAATCTTAAGTTGAACAGTATTTCCTCTGATTTAAAAAACCGAAGTTTTAATATTTCAAACAATACTAACTGTACTTTCCACATTCATTTAAACAATTAAGAATGTGAAAAAATATTTGAATAAATTTTTTGAAAAATTTCTCAGAAATATTTTATTTGACATTACAAGGCACTCCTGTCAGATCGATATTTAAAAAGTTGGCATTTAGACATCACGTTTCTCGGGTTGTTGATGTTGCCATGGTAATTTTAAAACACGCGCGTTTCTTAAAGTTCGTTTTAAACACGCTGAGACGTACTTTAAATAAGTAAAATAGGGTACCAATAAAAAAAATTATTTCATTTTTCTCCATCTGAGATTTGAACTCGAGTCTTCCATATGGAAGGCAAAATCCTTGACCACAGGACCATCTACGCGTTTATTTTTCTTACTTTAATACTCTTAATTAATTTAACTTCATATAGTTTTATTTAAATTAACAAATTTTTTATAATAATTATAGACGAAATAAAAATATAAATTCTATTATTTATCGATTCTGCACAAGAATAACTCATTTTAATGTATGTTTAATCTCAATAACTAAAAAACATACTGACAATTAGTTTGACAGAATTGCCATTTATTTAAAATTTTAAAAATAATTGCAGTCTAAGTGTAAGGGGTTAAAGAAAAGGTCCTTTATTTCTCACAAGTCTGACTTGTGAGAAATAAAGGACCTTTTCTTTAACCCCTTACACTTAATCCCTACTACTCACATATGGCTACCCTCACTCCAAATAATTGCAGTCGGTTGATCAAAATATGAACTGTGATTTGTGGTTTTAATTTTTTTGCAGTGTTCTCACTACCTAGAATAGATATGAAATATACACTGTGTCCCAGATTGGTGCTGCATGTATTGCTATCTCGGTTATTATAAGAGCTACAAAATCGGTTAAATGGGCAATGTTTCTCAGGATTCTATTACCATTTCAGAACTGCTATTACATTTTGTCAGTTATTTTTGGTTTTTGAATAAATCGCGAAAAACCAAAATGGTGGGTTTTTGACAGTCCTCCGTATTTCGAATATTTGAGAACATACGGTATTTTGGTCTAGACATTCTAAGGGCATTTTTTTAAGGTCTTTACAGTAAAAAATAAAACAAAAGAATTTCTCGTTCCGTTTTCGAGATAATGACTATAACTTTGTTTTTCCTTATGGACGCCATATTTGATTTTTATTGCATTAAATAGAATTGTCAATTCCCTTTTCAAAAATGGTACATGGTACTTTCTTTCAAATGAATGCTGAAATAAACAAATCTAAAAATTTTGCTGCTCTGCTCAATTTGGTCTAGTAGGCGAGCCAAAAATATGTTTTATAACTGTAAAATTATAGTTAATTTACATTAGATTTTAATCGTTCATTTTAAATTCGTTAATTGTTTTTTTTTTTGTTAAATTTAATTTCCGTTACGTTGTTATTATTTTCAAATATATCAATGAAGAAAAATTAGACATGTTAGAAACTTACTTCGTAGCCCACAGAAACTCTACAGCGGCTGCAGAAATTTATCAAAATAAATTTCCTGAACGGCATCAACCAAACGCAAGACATTTTAGGGATCTGTTAATAAATTTGCTAAATTATGGAAGTTTTGAAAAACGCAGAAATCAAATATGCTATTTAAAATAAGGAAAGAATTGATGCTGTATTACAATACACTAATAATAATCCCACAGCATCGGTTAGAAAAATTGGTAATGAAACGGATATCCCTAAGTCATCCGCTCATCGAATAATGGACGTTAATAAATATCATCCATACAAACTTAGGATTGTACAAGGTTTATCGGCAAATAATTTTCCCCGAAGAGTAAGATTTTGTGAATGGTACATTCAACATATGCGAGAAAATGCCAATTTTTCCATGAACATATTATGGACTGACGAAACTCGATTTACCAATTGCGGAGTTTTTAACAGGCATAATACCCATCACTGGACTATAGAAAACCCAAAACTAACATCACACAGAAGATTCCAAACATAATTTGGATTTATTGTTTGGTGCGGCATAATAGGCAAGTATAAAATGATATTTAGTTTAAATATAAAATTATTGAAATTCTTACTTTCAGGAAATCAATTAATTGGACCAATAATTTTTAATTTCAATTTAAATGCAGCACGACATCTTCAGCTCTTACAAGAACAAATAATGCCCACTGTGAGGGCATCTGTGGGGAACTTGGATCAAATTTGGTATATGCACGATGGTTGTCCAGCTCATAATGCTGCCGTCGTAAAGAATTATTTGGTAGAAAACTTCCCCAATAGATTAATGGCGACATTTTGTGGCCTGCTAGTTCCCCTGATATAAATCCCCTTGACTTCTTCTTATGGGGACATATTAAAAACGAAACTTACTCATTTGAACCACCCGAAAATATTGCAGTTTTAGAAGTTCGAAACGCTATGGGTGCAGTGAATAGAAACACATTATTAAGGGCAATAAACTCTCTGAAAAATCGTTATCAAATGTGTTGTGATCAAAATGGTGCCCACATAGAACAATTTCTTTAAATTAGACAGTTTATATCTGAAGCTTGTATTGTAAATTGTCCCAAAAATTATTGCAAAATCCTTGTTTTTCTATGGTTTTATAAAGTTCAAATTAAACCGACTATAATTTGACAGTTCTAAAACATATTATTGGCTCACCTACTAGACCAAATTGAACAGAGCAGCAAAATTAATTAGGACATTTTCAGATTTGTTTATTTCAGCATTCATTTGAAAGAAAGTACCATGTTGTGATACATTTTTGAAAAGGGAATTAACAATTCTATTTAATGCAATAAAAATCCAATATGGCGTCCTTAAAAAAAAACAAAGTTATAGTCAATATCTCGAAAACGGAAGGAGATATTCTTTTGTTTTATTTTTTATTGTAAAGACCTTAAAAAAGTACCCATAGAATGTTCAGACCAAAATACTGTATGTTTTCAAATAATCGAGATACGGAGGACTGTCAAAAACCCACCATTTTGGTTTTTCTTGATTTATTCAAAAATCAAAAATAAATGACAAAATGTAATAGCAGTTATGAAATGGTAATAGAATCCTGAAAAACATTGCCTATTTAACCGATTTTGTAGCTCTTATAATAACCGAGATAGCAATACATGCAGCACCAATTTGGGACATAGTGTATTCGTTTAGTTGAAAGCAATAGCATACTTTTTCGTTTTGTAATCTGTGCATAGATAAGGTAATATCCATGTGGTTGTAGAAAAAATTATTTCCCATCCCACCCTAATATATGTGGATACATATATAGTTCCCAGATATCAGGTGATTTTCGTAATTCGCACTTCAACGGAATGATATATAAAGGTTTGGTATAAGATTAGAAGCAGTGAATATGGGGCATTTTGTTTACTATCGAGCAGTGTTTCTCAAAGTGTGCTCCGCGGAGCCCTGGGACTCCGCGAAGAAAATAATAGTCATAATCAGAAAAACAAGGGAAGCAGTACTACTGTCGCCACAAAAGGGAGGACCTGGGTTGAGGACTTTTTTTTTAAGAATGCAGTAAAATGGAAAGGGTATTGCTTGAGGATCTTTTTTTAGAAATGTATTAGGGCTCCGTCAAATATTTTGCTTTTCAAACAGGTTCCGTCGCCAAAAAAGTTTGAGAAACACTGCTAGAGAGTGTTTCAAGGAAACTACATTGTAATTATATCTACGGACAAACTCGGAAAATTATAATTATTCTTTCTTAAAGTAAGTCAATTAATTTTCTAATTATTTCATCGACCTCTGAACGGCAACATTTTGCTGAACTGTAAATGGTAAAGTTTTGTATGGATTATTTTAAAAACATAATAGCTCATTGTTGAATGACTGCGTAAATCGATCAATATGCACGTATTCGCAGGTATTATTAATAAATGCATAGCAACAGTACAGTTTACTGGTAAAACATTCTGATTAATATTTTCCCCCAACCAATTCCGATCGCGAATTCGTATCAATGACGTCGCTAACCTTAAAAAAACAATCGCCGCCGTGCGGCTAGACTGCTTGATGCAGTCGTCGTCGGTGCATTTGAAATCTAGAAAGTTCGGCGCTCTTTATCGATCAACCTGAGCGTCGACGTCTCCGTGGGGTTCAGTTTAGTGCGTCGTTTTCGTCGTTCGACGCCATTTTGGCTGCTGAAAATAGAACGAAATTCTTTCTTTCTACTTTATCGTCGGCGTTTTTTAACTTCGGTGCGTGGTTTGGCTGGAAGTTAACGTCGCTATAGATTTTATTGTGAGATAAAATACGATAAGTGATTAGATTTTATTTGTTTAGTGTTTTTGTGGAGTTCATTGTTATTTTCGTATAGGTAGGTCAGTAATAATTTGTTTACAGGATCTACCTACATAATATTGTCGCCTCAGAATAGAACAGTGAAATCGTTACGTCACATAGGTGTCTAATAAAAATATAATAGCTTAAATAAATAATAGTTTAAAAAAACTAAACAGTAGAAAATAATTTTCAATAAATTTAAATTAAGAATAGTGAACAGAAAAAAAGGATATCTTAACTAAAAGCAAAACGAATTTAAACCAAGATCGCCATGTCTTTGAATAGGGCTATATGAATATTATCTTAGCTAAAGGCAGCCGTTTCCTTGAATTTAAGGGTTCTCAAAACCTTTAGTAGAAAAGAATACGTACTAAGGCCAAAGGTAAATGTCTTGGGCCAATTTAACATAATATCAAAAGTTTATTAAATCATTAGATTAATATCTTTGTCTTAAGGATTTCAAACTTGTCTCAAGGACCATTGACTTGGGAATTATACAAACAATTTCTTAACTCAAGTATAGTTCTTCCATTATCAATTGCAGATCATAAAAACTCGTTCGGAACCTTTACCGACAATTTTGTTTGATCTGTCATAGGCGTAGATACCTACCTCATTTTATAAATTTATTTTATTAATACTTTTAATATATATCATATGCAAGAAAGTATTCGTTAAAAGGAAATCGAATAATTATAAATTGGACGTTATTATACGCCCTTATTTAGACAGATGCACTTAATTGTAATCTTACTTGTGCTTAAAAAAAATCATTATAGCTCGTTAACTTGCTACAACTGAATATTAAATTATAAAACGTAAAAAAGCAAGTAAAGTGTACCTGCCTGTAAGGGCGTTTGGTTTAAACAGGGTACCAGACGTGAACTGAACCCTTTTTGTACCCCATTCGTTCTTTTTCTGGAAAACGAAATTTCAAAGAAAAAACCATAAAAGGAAATCAATTCTTTGCAAATAAAACAAAAGAAAAAAAAACAATTCAATTCTAAAGTATCTTTATAAATAATCATGGCAGTCTGAATCCTCTGAACTAGAGTCATCATTTGGTTGAATTATGATGGGTTGTAAAGAAGGTAATACTACATACTCATCTTCTTCTTTGATAACATGTTCAACACAGTTTTTCCAAAGCTCTTGGCGGTCTGCTGCTAGAAATTTCTTTACGAGTTCTACAACTTCTTTACTCAGTTCTGGAGACTGATTACATTTTCGTAATTCTGATTTTAAGTTTGCCAATATTAACTCTATAGGGTTAAATATGCAATAGTAAGGAGGTAGTCTGAGAAGAGTTTGTTTGTTTTTACTATCACTGGCAGGAATAGGAATATTTTTTTCAGACATAAAAGCTAAAATTTGAGCTTTTTTACTGCTACTATTTGGTATTTTAAGGAGTTGCCGCGAGTGGTAGGATGCGTTGTTCATAACGATTACTGACTGTGGTGGAATGTAAGGTAAAAGCTGTTCATTAAACCGTTTTTCAAATAATTCTACTGTCATATCTTCGTGATAATCAGCTGCACAGTTTTTAATTTGTTTAGCAGATAATAATAAAGCATTAGGCACGAAACCGTCTTTGCTTCCAGCGTGTACTATTATAATGCGTTTCCCTTTAAAACATGGCCCATTCAAACAGCAATTTTTACTACTGCCAACCCAACCGAAATTTACTACATCGTGACTGTCACACTGTCTAGATAAATTATGTGTTTATTAGAACTTCTGTAGCCTTTTATCTGACGCAAATAATCTTGTCGCCATTGAACTATCCTTGACGATTCGGTGATTGCTATCTGTTTATTCAATTTTTTGTGTTTAAAACCACATGCTGACAAAACTTGACGCAATGTTTCCAAACTGGTATAAGTGTATCCTGGAAAATCTGCCACCTTTTGCTGTATTACTTCCAATGTCGGAACCCTGTTCTCCTTATATAAACTATAAATTGTCCTTCGTATAAAATCTTGGGTAGCTCTGTCAACTGATTTCAGTTTTTCTTTACATGTTTTTCGGTTTTATGAATAATCCACAGCAACCCCTTTCGTGACTACCGGATAAACGGAAAATTTATTTACTTTAGTTAATTCAGCAATTGTTATTATGAACGCATTATCAGACTGCTGAATATTTTTCTTTTTTAAACATTCGAATATATTTAAAATAACTTGTTGTGTTTGTATATCTAAATCCTTATCGTTAAAGTCATACCTGTCTTTAATCTCACTACACTGTGCAATTTCATTTTCTTCATTCGCCCATGGTCTAAAGAACGCCATATTTATATTTATTAAAAGAAATTTTAATTAAACCAACCACACATACAAAACACACCGCACGACAGTACTCTACTGATATCGGACTGTCTTCCAGGAATATTTTCGAACACCTGCCTTCCGTAAACCTTCGGCCAATACAGTGCATTTAAGTTTACGATTCGATGTTTTTATTGGTAAACAACTGATGGTACGTTTAATATTTACCGCTTTGTATAAGGGGAGTAAACATTATTTTTCGTTTCTTAATTTGGCATGAGTACCGTGCGTATATATTAAATATTGATGATTCCCCACATAACTGTGTTCTGCAATTGATAATGGAAAGACTATACACATTCTTCCCATAAAGTAATGAATCTCATGCCAAGCACAAAATCATCTGATGGTGATACTTGTATTTATATATTATTTTGGTTTAAGATTTTTATGACTTTGTTTCAAACACATGAAACTCCAACCTAGAAAATATTTTCTTGCTCCAAGAGAATATTTAATTGACCTTAGAGAATATTTTCGTCTATCAAAAAATCTTTTATGGTCCAACAATTTTTTTTTCTGATGAAGAGAATTATTTTCTCCGATTAACAGAATATTTGCTTGGAACAAGAGAATATTTTCTTGGATCAAGCGTAGATCTTTGGTTCAAAGCCCGAATGGTACAGAATATCTTGCTATATTTACATACCCTATAATTTTAAATATAGCAAATCTGTTTACAGAAAAACAATTGAGCTTTCACATTACTCGAGAGCAAATAAAACAATTACAAAGAAAATTCCACACCTGTAATTTTGAACCAATCAAAATACGTGTTTTTGACAGATCACCATGGCAACGGAGATATTTTAGTGGAAATTTTTTTCTCGTGGGGTACCCAACAGCGAATTATACTGGAAATTTTTTGACGTTTACAATAACAGACCATTTTTGACAGACTGGTTTTTATTTGTTCACATAATAGGTTTAGTTTTGATACATTTTAGTTACAATGCTAAGGTGTTTTCTATATTCTTCGGCCACTTCTTTTCTTCTTAATGGCGAAAATGCAGGACTTTGGATGCTTTGAATTATGTGTCTATGTCTAATAAAATATATATAATATTTAGACACTAATTTATTCACCTTTTTCCCATTCATCACTTTGAATTTTGCGTAGTTTAAGTGCAAATATTCGTGGACAATTCGGAACAAATTTTCGTTTTTCAAGTTGGAGCCACAATCCTCTATTAATCCGAGTAAGTAAGTCATGGTGCAATGATTGATCATTACATCAGACAATTTCACACATATTTTGCATAGCGTATGATTTTCAAATCGAGTCATTTTTAAACAATGCTGTGCAATATTCTTTATCGCAACAAAACGCGAGTTATTTAATGTTTTGAACTGTCAAAATACAATGATCACAGCCTCCTACGATTGATGCTTGCTGACGCTGGTTATGAATTTCATACCATTTTAAAGCGCTCATAACGCATGTTAATAAAAACGCAGAAAAACAATTTTCTACCACTTGTAGTTATTCAAAACTTACGTAAAATTAAAGAATATACTATTTTCTATTTTCAAATGGTATTCCCATGCAATTACAATGAGTAGAAATAAGCAATTTGAAGGCCTAAATAATTGCAGCGAAACATTTTTTTACGTCGGGCCGCTTGACAACTTCAAAACTGAAATTATATTCGAGGTTAGGGTCTCACTTAGTTACCATGACAACTCAACAATCAAGGCGACAACACCTTTTATGTTTCACTGGTGACTTGGAGAAAATAATTTGCATTGTTGAGAAACGAAAAATAAATTTTAAAAATATTTAATTTTCAACCATAATTCGGCGTGGAATTTTCTTACCGAATACCACGCGAGGTCAAATTAATATCAGAAAATTTCCGGAAATAATTTGACCCCTAGTGGTATTACTAGTGAAAATACGTCTGTTGTACATATTTAATCTAAAGGGACTGTTAAGGGCCATTCTCCGCCTGAATTTTTAAGCAAAAACAGCGGTTAAGCTCGTGCGCAATTATAACTTTATTTTTCAAAATTACTTAAAACTGCTTGTGCAGGTGACGAAAGAAAAGGTATTTCTAGGGATGTGTAAGAACAAAATGATTAAATTTTTTAAAAGATTGCTATTATTCAGACTAGAAAAGGTTACAATATTACGTATTTTAAGGCGCTAATCATGTCGTTATAAGAAATAATTTGGAAAATCTAATTCTATATATCCCTGCTGCAAACCTTTAACTTTGTACTAAAATGTTCTTTCTTCAAAAAAGTCAAAAAATAAGTTAGTAATCGCGCATGGCCTGACCCTCTGCAAGTAACATTTTTCTAACCGTAATGTGGCGCCCTCCGCACTGAAATCTATTAACAACAAAACTAATAGATGTTGGAAGATTTTGGAAAGACTAAAAAATTTTGTAAGCCCTTTATTAATTAAAGTATTTAGTTGGGTATATACTAATTTGTGTGCAAATGTATAAAATTTTGTTTTTTTTTTGATTCTTTTTTAATTATAAAATTACAAATTACAATTAAAACAGAGGGAAAAGCCGTTTGTAGGTCTAATTAATAATAATCAATACATCATTATCAATTTATTTTAAATATTCAATAAAGTAGAAAAACAAAAAGAAAACGATATTTTAAAAAGCGTTTGAATATTTTATCGGAATGTTACTACAATACCAAAAATATTAAACATGGAGGTACTTATATAATATTATATATGAATAAA